TTCTTTAATAAAGATCAAATTTTTTAACCTATTTGAAAATCTAGATTTCCAAACTCAACCCAACCACTTCGGTGTGTTACATTAGCACATATATATTATATTACACTTTAGTATTGGACATGACACTACGTGTAAGAATTTCCATCTCAACTAAATAAGTTTGATACGTATTTTTTAATTTCATCTGAAAAAACATGTATGAGTTTATTAAGTATTAAACTCTTATTTTTAATGTTTATATCTCAATACGTAGCACTTGCACCTTATTATTAAATTCGAGTGTAAAGTTTACGCTAACGCACCACAGTACTCTAACTGCTAGCGGTATTATCATACTGTAAAGTTATATGTTTGGTCTTGTAACCAAACAACTGTCGGAAACCTTACCCAAATGCTGCAATTATGTAAAAACAGGACATCCAGCTAATCCAGCAATCTTTAAATCAAATTTTGTACAGCCTTGAAAATTCGTTGTATTAATGGCTATGTCTTTGACTGCTTCCAAAAGCTTCTTTCTTTCCGTTTTCAAATCTTCTCAAGCCGCTGATGCTTCATTCCGTTCTAGCTACCTGATATTGATGCTATATTGATGATATTGTTTCCTTTCGCCTCCAAAATTAAACAGCATATCACTAAACTAATATCCCAGGAAGAGCGAGGTCTTCAAGTTTGTGTTATATCAGTGAAGTAAGAATAGCTCTTATAAATGTAAATTATATTCGCTTGCCTGTTCAAACGTACTTTTTCTTTCAGGATTTTTTTTTGGGGAATGTAGACCTGACAGTTTGAATTACTGCAATCAAAATTTATTCTGGTTTACTTATATTTTCTAGGGACACACTGTTGTTCGAAAGGATAGACACGGTTTTAGCAGTGGTATTGCTATACTTCTCAAAGACAATTTTAAATTTTCGTACATGCCCATTTCCCCTCTCATCTCTACTGAGGCTTGTGGAATCACTCTTCAACTGTACAGCAACTTGGAAATGATCTTTTTTGTATATATAATTCACCTTCTATTATAATATATATTATATATTATAGGTCGTTATTAAGAATTTAATAACTTAATTTTAATAATAATATAATAATTTAATTTCTCCCAATCCGTTTGTCATTGGTGGTGATTTCAATAGCAAACATATTTGCTGGAACAACATCTACTATTGCAGTAGTGGATCAAAGTTGTACTATTCGTTCACTGATAACGTTCACCTTAGCATTAATGCTTCCAATGGACCAGCTCATATCGATTTCATTGTTGATTTCTTTCCACTTCCTGCAGCTACCACAATTGCGCCACCTACTGGAATAATTTTAACAAAACTCTCGATCATCACTGTACTTGGAGATCCATCCCTGTGAATAGAAACTTACCGTGCCCTGAGTGGCGCTGAGCTTCGACATCGAAAAAACTGTCGATACGGTGTGAATTAAAGAATTGGTACTCAAAACTATGTCAACTTCACTTTTCTATTCCCATTTGTAGTACAATTTTCAACTATTTTTCAACAGAATTTATTAAGTTGGAGTTGTTTTCAAACTGTCTAATAACATGCTTACACTTTATGATTTGGTCATTTCCATTGGTATGAGCTGATTTATGCATATGAAATAGCTTGCTTGTTTACATTTCACACATACACATATTTTAAAATGGGATGTGGCACTGCGACTATCGAGTGTATTGTGGCAACTTCTGGGCTTAGAGTAAGTCTCTAAGTCCTGTTGCACCAATAAAAAGTAGTATAGAACCTACTTTATATACCATACTTTTATTGCCTCCTTCCCAGGAGTCTATTGTGTTTGTGTGTATTAGCGTAGGGCATTTTAACAGCATATATGTGGCTACTCGTCATTCTCTTCGCAGAATCTACAGTTTTTATCCGTATAAATGCCCAGTCTCGTAAAATGGTGTTTTATTTTACAGTGTCTTGTTATGATACCTGTGATGATTCTTAGTTTTTCTTTCGATAAGTTCATGCAATCCTGGAATTTCGTATTTTCATTTTTTCACATATGAAACAAAACATATAAGAAATATTTTAAATGTTGATGTTTTCCCTTTTGGGAAGAAAACAAGCAAAACAAATGTGTGTTGTGGTAAATGAGAACATAACAAAGTACTTTTTATCAACAAACAAATCTCCTGAGTGTCTTGAGATTCACGTCACTGTTAAAAATTATAAGTTTGAAGTTGTGAAAGATTTTGTTTATTTGGGAACTAGTGGAACCAACCTGACATCAGCCTAGAGATTCAACGAAAAATGATGTTATTTCGGGCTAAGTAGGCAATTGAGAACTAAAAGCCTCTCTCGACAAACAAAAATTACGCTCTACAAGTTTTTTATAATGCGTCTCCTGCTGTATGGTGCAGATCTTAAACAATTACCAACAGTAATGAGAAGGCGTTTGGGGCATTCGAGAGATTAATTCTTCGAAGCATCTATAGTTCCGTAAGCGTTGGTGACGAGTATTGCATTAGATAGAACAAAGAGCTATATGAACCATACCCCAACATTGACATAGTAATTCGTATAAAAATTTCGTTGGTTAGTCATGTCGTATGAAGGAAAGAAAGTGTTCCTTCTAGAAGGATGTTTGTATTTCACTAATAGGGCTGGCTGGCGGAGGCTAGTCGACGTGGCCAAGTACTTCTCCCGTCTGTAATGGTTAACTAAGTAATACCATATTTACACTGTGTCTTTTAGGTGGTTCTGCTGATTATAGCCAATAAAGTGAGAATGATTTACCATACAAAGTGCTTTCACATAAATGAGCTAATTATCAATAAAACAGCTCATTTAAGACGAAAAATGTCGAATGCAATCCTTAAAAATAAATTTCCCACAAGGGAAATCATCAAAATGTAAACAAACAACAGCTGAGCTAAAAATATTGGCACTGAGGAAACAAGTATTTAATAAAATCTTTGCTTTTATTAATTGAATATTTAATTGATATATAAAATGTATATCATTGATTTATTATATCAATTATATATTAAATTTTTTTGTGTGATATATTATTAACAGCTACATAAATGAGTTCATTAAAATCTGAACGTTCACTTATTAATATAAATGAGCAAATGCCTAAATGAGACAGTGTGAATGTCTAATTTTTTAATTTAATTGTCTAATTTTAATTTTGCCACGTTGTGCGTCAGCGACACTAAGGCCGTGTGTGAGTTCGAGTAAATTTATGGTAAATGGAGGGAAATAGTAAATTATGTCGGTATGGCAGCGTATGTTGGTATTTACCAGAATTTCAAGTAGGGTAAATTAGATAAAAATTTGGTAAATTAAGTGTTACCATTGCAAAAATTTTAAAGAATGTTTAATAAATAAAATAATAAATAAAAATAAAATAAAAAATTAATAATAAAAAAATAATAAATAAGTGCAATAAATAAATAAATAAATACAGTCAATCTTCCATAACTCGAACTGCTGCAACTCGAATTTTCTATATATCGAAGAAGAATTTTGTTCCATGTTAATAGGAATATGGGAAAGTGCATTCTTTAAGTTGAATTTTTGTTTTAAGTATAAATGCATTTTGGCGTTAGGGAAAGTCCCTTTTTTCCAAACTAAATGTTTAATTTTTTCTTTCTTATGTTGTTTCTTTGTGCAAATGCCAGTCGCTGGCAGCGGGGTTTAAAGTAAATAAAATAATTAACAATGCTATTATTAACGATTTTATTAAACTTAACAATGAAATTTGTTCATCAAGCTTTTCTACAGATGATAATATTATTGAGCACTATAGCTCTAAATTACTGGATCCAATTTTAAACGCAACGGAAAGTGATGATGAGGGTTCGGTGAGTGTAAATGTGCATCAGCCTTCCAAGAATGAAGTAGAATACTCATTCAAAATTCTGAATTTATATTTGCAATCGAATGATACTCTGTTACAACTGATGATTAGTGGTGCCAAACTTCGTTACTTTTGCGTATTTGTAACTACCTGTTACTTTTCGAGTATGTATTCGTTACTGCGCTTTCGTTACTGTGCAGTCGTTACTGAAGTTTAAATGCTTTTTTTCGGCAATAAAAGAAATTTTTAAAAGCATATATATTTATTATAATAAATTATAGATTTAATAAATTAGAATTATTATTTTATTGAATTGTTTGATCCGCATATTTTGCATTTAGCTTTTCACGTCCTACTGGTTCAAATGAATCCAAATTTCACTTTTTTATATTAATATTTTTAAACATTTTTAATGAATTTGATAGCGAAGAAAAATTTTGTTCACAATAAAGTAGTTATTATTATATTGCTTAAAAGTAATCGTTACTAAGTACTCGAAAGAGTAGTTATAATAAATATTACTCATTGGTAAAATGAGTAAAAGTAACGAATACAATAAAAAGTTTGTATTCGTTACTCAGGTATTTCTTGAGTAACGAATACAAAGTAACGGATAGTTACATTTTTGACACCACTACTGATGATCACTATAAAGTATGAATAAATTGGAATTCCTTTTTATTGAAAATAAGAAAAAAATTAAAGTTCCAAACCTTAATTTTTGAATACATATTTTACTTCGCTATAACTTCTATGCTTTTTTTGATTGCAAATAAATAAATATCTTAAAATGTAATTCTAGTTTCTTTAAAAAATAAAATAAAAATATTCTCTAACTCGAAGTCTCCATAAGTTAAACCTTTTCTTTGCAAAATTGAACTTCGAGTTATGGAAGTTTGACTGTATTTACATAAGCGCAGTTCGAAAAATCCCTAGGAAATTTTAATTTACTTTACCTAAATTTACTCGAACTCACACACGGCCTAAATAATAAATTTCATAACTTTATGTTTTAACTTTAAAAATTTTGTTTACTAAAAATTATTTATTAAAATATATTTTAATTTGATTTATGAAACACATTATTTGAAGAGAACATTGCTGCATATTCTAAAGAAAAAGCAACACGGCAACCCTTCGTTAGCGTCAAATTTTCAATACTATTTTTACGAAAAAAGAGTACTCGGTTTAGTATATGCCAGACATACGTCAATGCGTTGCGATAGCTAAATACGTAGATACAGAAATCGGAAGCGAAAGCGTCTGCGAAATTTGAAGTGAATTTTTAAAAAATAGTTATTAAAGATATTTTGCAATAAATAAAGCGAAATGGCATACGTTAATATGAATGAGCAGAATCCACCTCAATGTAAGTTCATTAAAAATTGTGAAGTGAAAAATTAGAGTTTTGGTTTGAGTTAAAAAAATGCAGGGCGTAATATTGCCAAAATTATGTTTTTTTTTTTATTCAATGAAATGCCGTAATGTTTTGATGTTTTCTCTTTTATTTATTTTTTTTTTTTTTGATTTTTGCAAACACGCGAGTATTAGAATATATATAAGTTGCGCAAATACTAATAATTAAATTATTGTTTGGATTAGTAAAAGAGCAAAGACTAAACAAAATAAAATAAAAAAAAAATAGAAAACAAATAGGAATGAGAGCGGTTACACGGTAAAATATTTTGAAAATAAACAATTAAAAAATTAATTAAAACAAATGTGGCAGTATAGGAAGCAAATAAGAAATAAAAGAAAAAAAAGAATAAAAGAAAATATTTTTCGTTTTAAGTGTATATTAAAATAATTTTATTATTCAAATGAATAGAAATCACATAAAGCATATAAATGAACCATAAATAATTAAAATTATATTTTTATATATAATTCAGAAAACAGAATTTTTAATTTACAATAAGAATCAACTAATTCAGAAATACCAGCTCGTCATTAAATACTGGCTTTATCATAAAGAATTTTATTTCAAATTATAGAGTAAATGTACCAACCATTAAATTACATACATACATACATACATACATACATACATACATACATACATACATATATGTATACCATATATGTTTACATTGCGAAAAAAATTATCTAAACTTTAGATTCTAAAGCAAACTGTCTGAATTCTGAAAATTAATGATAGCTGGCGCTTGCAGTTATAGAGAGCCGGTTTTTTTTATATATATAATTTCACCACAAATAAAGTTTGTTTAGGTGCGGAAAACACATTTGAAAATTAATAATTAAAAAAAACTGATAAGTTTTTGTTGTTATTAATAACAAATTTGTTTTCTCATTCAAATGTAAATCTACAAAAGAAAGAAAGAAAAAAAAAGTATGATTATAATGTAATAGATGTAATTGCGGAGACATCCTACTAGTGACGGTCAAAGATTACCTACTACAGTTAAATTTCTATAACACGAATTTTCTATAACTTAAATTAAATAGAGCGCCATAGGGTTTAAAGAGCAAATTAAATACAATTACAAAAAAGTTCTTCAACTCGAAGTCTTTGCAAAATGATACTTCGAGTTATGGAAGTTTGAAATAGAAATACAGATTTCTATCGGAGGTGTACGTTTTCAAGGAATATAATTATATTTATTTTCCTCTCCTAAAGTGTTAACATTATTTGCCTTCAAAAGCAAAACTATTAAGCGATAAAAATAATATCAGTCTGTAAAATCATATTTTGAGTTGCACCATACATTTGAGAATAGTCAATAAATTTCTGCTATATAATTTTTTCGTATGGATAAGTTGTTTAGGTCTTTGTCTTTTTGATAACAAAAAATTTGCATACCTAATATATATAACCTCTCGCATTACAATCGTTTAATTAATTTTTATTATCATTATTATTATAAATTGTTCAAGGTCTATGCAGTTTTTTTTTTACAAGACCATTGATGATGAGTACTTGGCCATACTCGAAACAGCTGTATGGTCAGCCAATTAATATTCAATTGATTCAAATAATATAAAAAAGAATTTCTGTTATCGTCGGTCACTACTTTTCTAAAACCTCTTTAAAACAAAAGTATGTAATCTTAAAATATTGTTTTAAACTTGGTTCTAAATTTTGTTATGACGAAAGAAACTATCTTGTTGTTAGTAAGTATTGTTTTAGTAGAGGGTTTTTAAACTATAGTGAATAACAACAACAAAATTTCATAATTTTTAATTAATTTAATTATTTTAGCTAACACTACAGTTGTTTTGTGTATACCTATAATCAGTGATCATTTTGAAAATATGTATTTCTTATATTTAATTATACGTAATTATTTGCGAAAACTGACAGACTTATCAACACCGCATTATCAAATCTCAGAATGGTTACAGGCTCCTCGGGAAGGTATGCAGATCTGAGGTCAATTATTGCTTAGTCTGATGAAGTGATAAACAATAATCCAGTCAAGGCGTAAGGAGGGGTTTTAAAAATACCTCGAGTTAAGAAAGAGTAAAAGTGCTCAAGTGCACTGGCTCAAATAGAAATAAATAAATATACGTAAATAGTTTTTTGAGACTACTAGTACTAAGGAAATTAATATTTTTTGAGCAGATCAAAAGCCGGATCTGAAATTATATATATACATTTTTTTACATAAAATCTAAACCAAAAATTTCGTATCCTAACCTTCGAAGACACATAACCGCGGTAAGAATTTAAGTAGCTAAAGCGACCTCCCGAATAAATCGAATGACTATATTTATACATACTTTATACTAATATGTATTACAGTATTATATGTATGTTATTACATATACCTAAGACTAATACACAATCTCGCATTCTCAAAGGTCATTTCTAACTAGAGATTAACTTAAATTAAATATTTTTTAATAGCAGCAAAATTCTTTCAAAATCGCATATATTTAAAATATAAATTTTAATTTTTGATAATTATATAAATTTTATTAAAAGTTGATGGACAATAACTATCAAAAGATTTCTATTTTGAAAAGTATTAAACATCATTGGTCCTTGCAAATAGCTAATGGTCTGCAAATAGCTAATGGTTAATTGTCTATATAAAATAGTTGGACTGTATGAGGCAGGAATTCAAACCCTGACAAATGTAAATCATGGACTGGCGCCTGAACACTCGAAGTGCACACAAACTTAATTTGCGTTTTTCAAATTTATATTTTTATCAATTTTTCTTGTTTAAACGTAAAAATTTTAGAGTCGACACATAAATAGCATATTTATAAATATGTTTAAATAACATAAATTCCTGTTTTTTTTCAAATTTATTTTGATTTTAATTCTTATAAATTATTCAATACGTTTACCGTCTTCGTTTGTTTTTTTTCAATTTTTTTTATTTGTTAATAATAAACTAACTGCTGTATCTTTATATTGAATAAGCAGTCTTACTCTGAACTTGCTTTTATATTAAAAATAGATTATTATTTTTAATAATTTTATTACTTTTAGCTTCACAATATGGTTGGAAACCTAATGATCCAGTGCCTCAAGCCTCTACAAGCAGTGGACCTGCCCCACCGTACATCGATCCAGAAGACTTACAGCCAAAAAATTTCGCTTTCACTGATGAGAGTATACGTAAAGGATTTTTACGTAAAGTCTATCTCATACTTATGGTTTGAATGCAATTAAATACTTTTAAATATAATTTTAATCTAATAAACTGTTTTTTTTTATAGGCTCAACTAACTTTTACATTTGGTGTGGTAGCATTATTCGTTTTTCATGAACCAACTAAGCAATTTGCGCAACGTAATCCCACTATACTATTAATTGCTTGTATTACTACTCTGGTAGTGGTCATAGCTATGGCTTGTTGTGAAAATGCGCGTCGCTCATTCCCTACGAACTTTATATGTCTGGGCATATTTACGGCTGCAGAATCATTTCTAGTTGGATCTGTTGCTAGCGTTTATGATTCCCAAGAGGTGAGTTTACTTTATTGTATATATTTAGATATTATTTATTTATTTATAAATATATTTATATTTATTTATACATATTTACAATGATTGTAGCTTAAAAAGTTTAGTTATATTTGATAAATCAGATCTGTTAATGAACAGAACATGAGAATGGATGTTAGGTGAGATACCCTTTCCGATTAAAAGCTATATATTTTTAAATGTTGATTATACATTATAAAAAATTTTATTTAAGAGAGGACATTTAACTATAACAGAAAGGTCTTTTATAATAACTCATTTTAATATAGATGTAGTATTATATTATATTAAATATATATTAAATTATCAGTAATGCAATTTTTTTTAACATTTCGTAACATAGTGATGTTCATTTAAGATGCAAACACAACCTTAATAATAAAATATTAACGGGACTATTAAAGTTATTTAGTTTATCAGACAACTTTTCAGTCGGTACCTTTTTCAATTTTTTTTTTGTTAATATAGTATCTGGAGAAACCACTGACGATATTGTTAGTGTTAAAGAACATTTCTTAATATGTCTGTGGTATTACACATTGTCGTCTTAGCGATATTAATTAATAATTTAATATTCTAAATATATAAATATTCTATTAATATTCTAAAATTAATTAGAAAATATTCTATAAGGACGGGTATTCACGTTCTTGTAGAATACATAGAATATTTTTCCAGTCCGCAATATTTTGGGTTGAGAACCATTAATGTTTTGTTTTATTTTTTTTTACCAAAAATTAAAGATATTTAAGCGACTTTGAATATTTTTACATTTGGTTTCATAACAATATTTTAACATTATACTAGCAGATTCTAACACAATAAGAGGTAGTGTTAAGTGGTAAGAGTAATATCCTTACCGATACTGTATTAATCTCATATTCTCAATACAATATTATATTATATAGAGTAGAATAGATAAATATTTGTTTGGAAAAAATTTATGATTATTTTGATTATATATTTGTACATATCTCTCAGATTATCATAAACCTGCACAATTTTTGAAAGACTTAAAAAATAAATTATTTATTGCATGATACATTCATGCGGCTTACAATGGCTAAGTATTATACTTTTCCATTAATTCTGAAATATAGTAGTAGTCTGTATATTACACATTATTATCTTAATTTAGTCTTTTAAAAACTACTTATCTATATTTATAGAACAAAAACGTAGTATGAAAATAGTTAATTACTGAGATTCATTAAGCTTTCCCCACATCACGGCTTACAATAAAAAAAAAAAATACTAATAATACTAATATTAAAAATTTATTATTATATTACCCTATTCTATAATTTTTAGTTTTTTGTATTGTTATTAACTTAATCGTTAGGTAAGGTAACGAAGATATGGAATGTAATTATAATCTTACAGGTAATATTTTTTGTTATTGCAACTTTAATTGCAATTAATATTCCTAAGAAAACAAAGTACATATAGCATTCATTTTTATAAAAGCTCAAAGACAGCAAAAAATAGTTTTAACTTTTGCTAGAAATTTAAAATTAAAAAAAAAATTGCAAGATTAATTGTAATGATCTTTGAATATCACTCTACACTGCAGTTATATATGCAAATTGCGCTGAATCCAGTTCTCAGTTAATATGCGATTTGCAGCAATAGCCTCACCATATATTTTAAGCGGGGATTTACAATGTAATAATGCAATTATTACGTGTTAGTCATAAAAAATTTTATTTTACAACAAAATGACATACCATGGGATAGTAAACAATAGATGACATTGAAAACAATATACTAAACTACAATATTCAATTAATTAAAATAATTAAGATAATAAATAAATATATTATTATATTAAATGTTCAATATTTAAAACCTTTAGTATATTATTTTTGTAATATATATTCTATATGTATTTTTATTTCTTTCAGGTGCTTATGGCTATTGGAATTACTGCTGTCCTATGTTTAGGTCTAACAATTTTTGCCATGCAAACAAAGTACGACTTCACCGCTTGCGGTGGTTTCCTATTAGCTGCCTTACTTTGTCTTATGATCTTTGGATTTGTGGCCATCTTTTGGCGTAGCCATCTCGTCAGTACCATATATGCCAGCTGTGGTGCTCTCTTAGCTTGCATATTCCTTATATATGATACGCAAATAATGATGGGTGGCAAACACAAATATAGTGTCAGCCCTGAAGAATATATATTTGCTGCTTTGAATTTATACATGGACGTTGTAAGAATCTTTTTGTATGTTTTACAATTGATTGGTAATAAAAAATAAGTACAAGTACTAGTCCAAACTAAAAACAGTAAATAATGAAATTATGCAAAATTTTTGAATTTATATACATTTTTATATATATTTTTGCTTAAGTGTTTAAACTAAAATATTGTTTATATTCGAATAATAGAATTTTTTGAAATTATTTATTTTTCATTATATTCTATATGCATATTGTGTAAAATGTCAAAAGTCGAATACCGTATTGTGTATGTATACGTTTTACTTAAAAAAAATGACGTATGTATGTATTATGTTTATATAACTGTAAGGTCTTTAATGTTACTAATAAAAAGGAATTTAATGTGAATGTATGTAATGAGTTTGAAATTATTTATGAAAGTTGAAGTTTATAAGAGCAGTAATTAGCATTAACTTATATGTCGTTCACATTATAAACTTAAGGATTCTTATGAAATGCGCTCTAAGTGTGCCTTAAACTGATCTTAGAGTAACTGCAATCAGTAATTTGAGTAGTTTATGCGTATAATGAGAGGCACCTTAAACAATTTAGGCAATAATGCGAGAATATTTGTAATAAACCTGCTGTAATATAGAAGAGAAAAAAGAAGAAACAAGAATTTTTGAGTAAAACCGTAAATGAATGGCCTCTTGCCTTCCTGCACCTGAAAATTGGAAATAACAACAAATGTATTCTAAAGTAATAAGTTTCCTGTAAGTAATATAGCGCATTGATAATTTAGAACTGATGCACATTCCTAACCCTTCGTTTAACTACAGCAGTATCCATTAAAGACTAGGTTTAAGATACTTAGTGATTATTTATAGTAGAATCATCTGTTAGTAAACATAAAACAAAATATACGAATGAAGTGGGTTTAAGACAACTAGATCAATGAGATTTTAAAAGAAGTCACTTTTTGCAGATATGTTCTCTCTCTCCCACTTCATTTTTTTACAATCGTTAAACCTCTCAAAAGAAGAGTATACATCATAGGTAATTAATATGCGATTAAAATTGTTCAGAGTTTTTTTTGAAGTTAGTTACTATACAGGTTGTTAGGAAAAATAACAACTTATTTATTATTATTTACTAACTGATCCACCAGTATTCTCGTCTAATATCTCATATCCGTGACCGAAACAATATGTAGTTAGGTTAGGTTATGTTATACCGGCGATTCCTAGGAAATTCACTTAGGCCTATTGGGTCATTGTGTAACCGTAGCTGTTTAAAAAAAAGTAATATTTAATACAATTGTCATATAAGAAAATAATTTTAACCGGATTTTAGATGATTATAATTATAAATAAAATATAATATTAAATTAAATTACTGATAATAATTTTTTTTTTAGTTGTGAAACTAGTTTAAAATTAATTTAATTTCTAGAGAAAATATGTGAGGAATTCATATGTAAGACAACATATATATCAAGATAAGATATGTTTAAATAAAAAGTAATAAACTAAATATAAAACAATTATATTTTTTGTAGTCATATTATTGTTATGAATTTTTAAATACAGTGAGTAAGGAAATAATATCAGTGATATCTTAGAAAACTTTAAACGTTTATAACGGTTAGTTATATCCTTATATTTTTTTGTTGAACAGATAAAAAAATTAACTTATTGGTGGAGCATCGTGATAAAAATAGAACCAAAGTTAATTGATGAATAGGTGAAAGGATATTTTGATAAAATTATTACATTTTACAATCTTAATATATAATAGAATCAATGATTCATTCATAAAAAATCAATCAATAAACCGATAGCAAATATTTGCCTGCTTATGTTTTTGAGTGATGTTCCTAGCAATAAAATGATTGATAAGTTCTAGAAGTTGGATATGTGAGCACTCTCAACCTGGTTAAAGAACAAAAAACAAATTACAATAATACTTTAGTGACATAGTTTGAGTATCCAGAGAAGTATGCAAATGGATCAAATTTCCATCTATAAATTGGTGTTCATAGGAAATAAAATCGAACCATTTTGGAAACTCATATTGTACGAAAACGAAATTGTCAAAAAATATGAAATTCTACAAATGACTGGTGTTGTAAAGCTGGTGTTGTGATCAGCTGAGTGTTGCTGTACGTGGTAGGACTATAAAATCATCACTCATTGTTACTGCATAATTCACATAGCAAGTGTCAGTAAGTATTTCAAAATTAAGCAACAGAGTAGATTAAGACAGAATGTTTATGAAAACGTTAGGAAACATATATCTTTAATAACCCGGTAGAAGCTGATAGACCTTGGTACGCAGTTTTAGTGTATATATGATTATTTCATAGGTACATAATAGATGAAAGATAATATATGATAGAATATTGCAATATTTGATTATTATGCTATTGATTTCGGATAATATATGTGCAAAACTTCATGCCACAAATAATTAAAAACATTGCTCTAATTTTAATAGGTAAAACTCTGCAATTCTAAAGTAAAGGGTTTACTGAAAAATTAAAGAAAGCGACAAAAAAAAAAATGGATTTATAAATTTGTTATTGAAAATATAATAAAAATAATTTATTTTATTTTTGCAATATTTTTTAAGTGTTAGTATTTAATGTACAGTTAAAAATAAATTTAGATAGTAAATATTATATATTGAATAACATTCAGAGTTACATTAGTCAGTAGAAGGTTAAGAAAAATTTTTGGGACTGCTTTTCTAACAGAGTGATCATCCCTTAATATTCGCAACATAGCTAAGTTAAATGAGGGGTCATGTCTTTTTCAAGTTTGTTCGTTGACCATTTCGGTCTTCATACCGTTTTTGCTTATTCTCTTGGTCTGGCCTATGAATATCATATATCCGTGGTATGATAACTGTCACATATTTATGTTCTAGTGGGGTTTGGGCACCACTAATCTAATCTAAGCTATTGAATAAGCAATAATAATCAACAATCAATAATAACAATAAAAGTAATATTAACTGCGGCAGTAGAGCATCTGTGAAAAATTGCAGTAAAGGGAGAGATAAAAAAAATTCTTAATACCATTAACTAATGTATTTATCTCAGATAATAAAAATGTCTTCGTATATATTTTAATGTAAGTAACATAATCATATGAGTTCGCCCCTGTAAATAATTGTAAACTGCTTCTATAAATTTGGAGAAACGGTTAAATGACAAGATCAACTCATCGCCCTTTAAATTGTTGGTACTTGTTTACTCCAAATTTATAGAAACAGTAAAATGGCGTGGATCATCTCGTAAAACGCATGTATGTTTAATAATAATTTTGAATAATAAATTCTTCTATAAAATAATAAAAATAATAAAAAATAATAATAATAAAAATAATAACATAAAATAATAAATCACGAAGTAAACCCTTCACTTTATTCAGTTAGTTGAGTTAGTGCTAAAAGTGCTTGCTAAATGCACTAATAAAGTAAACAGTAAAAACAGTAAAAAGTGTTTAGTAAATTTCATTGAAAAAACGCATCTAAAATATAAAATAAATATATATATAAGATATTTCACAAATTATTTCTAAAGATTAAGTGTGTACGCGTTTGTATAGACATATTTTTAAAGATGAAAATCACAAGGAAAAATAGTGCTCTTATAAATGGTGAGAAATGAAAAAAAGTTTCACGAAAAACTTGTCCTAACCTCCATTTTTAATGTTAAAATTGTTATATAAATAAAATTTAATCCTTGTTGTCAAGAGCATCAAATATTCGATTTTTTTTAAAAAAAAAAGTGAGGAGTCTCATTCATTCTTCCATTTTGTTTTCTATGTAAATACAGTGCTGACAATGGTTTCAACAAGTTGTAGTTGGGGCTTACTTATATCAAAACTAAATTTTATTATCTTTCTTTGTCAGATTGCGTACAAGTGACGCAATAACCTTACATACCCTGTCTATATAATTTGGCGCATGTGTCATTGAATGTCGCCAAGGAGTCTGAAAAGCGCAAATAGCGTTTTGGCAGTAGATTTTCCCAATGGTATCATCATCACTTCATTTTAGTCAGTTTATCTAAAGTAGATACAGCTTTGATAGTTGTAAGAACATTGTTGAAATCTTATTAGTGAAATTTAATAAGATTAATTAATAGTTTAAATTAATTTATTTAAAATGATTGGCTCAAAAGAAGAAGTGAATTATTTTGTGAATGGTGGTGTGCAAATGCAAACAGTGCCTAACGTAATGCTGGATGAGACAAATTTAATTACCGGAGGAGTGCAAATACAGGAAGGGGGTAAAACTATATAGCATAATCAGGGCTTCGAATCGCAAAATTTTTTTGCTGTGGTTTTTGTTCCAATATAAAATATATATCGGTTCGCTTGCAATTAGTGTTCCGCCAAAAATATCGGTTTGTTTGGTTCAGTTCCTAGTGAATATTTTTTTTACGTATTACAAATCAGTTTTTTTTTAACATGATTAAAAAATATTGTATACATTCTATTAAAAAAGCATAATTAATTAGTTGAATTAAAAAAATAAAAAAAAATTGAAAAAAATTAAAAATAAAAAAAAGTAAAAAAAAATTAAAAAAAAAAAATTTGAAAAATTAAAAAAAAAAAAATTTAAAATAGAAAAAAACACAAGATTTAAAAAATTAAAAAAAGGAAAATTAAACAAGATTTAAAAAAATTAAATAAGAATATAAAAAAAGACTTTTATAAATCAAAATTTGATTCATTCAACTAATAAATGAAAGGGGTTGATTAAATACCGTACTCCTCTGTGCTGAACTAAAATAAACCGATATGTATAAGTTCTGGTTCGACTCTGGTCGAATCAATAATAATATCATAATAGTTTTAAATTAATACTCTTATGTGATTAATTTTATCATATCAGATACCGTGCCAAATGTACAAATTGATTTAGGAAAACCCATTACTAATGGAGAGCAGCAGTTTGATATACCGGATGAGTCTGTTAGACGTGCTTTTGTACGCAAAATATTTTTCATACTCTCGGTAAATTAATATATTATATCAAATAATAATTATATACTAATTCCTTTTTTAATTTTAAATATTTATAGCTGCAATTTGTAATTCTTCTACCATTTATTGAATTATTTTCGATCATCTTTGAGGAACCGTTTTCAATACACACGCTCCATTCTATAGGTATCTTGGTATTCATTTTCGAAATCGTGATGTATTTGCTGCGGGACATGCGTCGACATCCACCAATGAATTTGTTAACCCTTGCGGTATTAACAATTTTTTTGGCTTTATATTATGGCATATGCGCATGTGTCTTTGATTCAACACTGGTAGGAGTTGTTTTGGATTATATAGAGAAATATCGTTTAATCTACTTAATTTTCGACAGGTTTTTCTGTATTTACTTGCATCAATCGTTCAACTCGGTTGCTTAATTCTATTTTCCAAGCTGGAACGTTTTCGATTTTCTAATATTAATGCAATACTAGTAATTGTTATTGTTTTAATTGTTTCTATTATAGTTATAGAATTGGTTGAACCATTAGCATATGAACAAGCAGTCTTTGCGGCAGCAATTCACTCCATATATGTGGTATGTGATACTCAATTAATGTTAAGTGGTTTCCATGGTTATCAGCTCAAATCAGAGGAACACATTTTTGCAGCAGCCAATGTTTTTATCGATGCACCCTATTGTACATGGCGTGTCTTCAAATACTTCATTGTTAATCCTATAGTCAAATTGTTTTACGATACAAAGGCTTGTTGTCGTGCCAGAGTTTGTTAAGTACTTTACCAACTGTTATATTTATATAATATTTTATTATATTTATTAAATTGTTATACGATATTGTTCATTTACGACCATATTAACATTTTATTAATTAATAAATATAAAACAATTTTATAACATTCCTAGCTAATATATATGTTCGATTTATCAATGAATATTTTATATAAAACAATTCAATATATTTGTTATAAAAAAAATTTTATATTATTATTAACAATAATAGTTATTAAATAATTATTATATTATTATTAGATTTTATACTTTCCCATCCTTACATTTATTAATTTTTTTTTTATTAATAATTATTGTGCTTATATTTGAAAAACATTTTCTGGACCTTTTTTTATATTTTGTTAAACTACATATATTGAATATATGTATTAAACTTATAGATTTATGATTTATTATACTATATCGTTAAACATAAATTTATATGTTATATAATTTAAATTTACTTATATCTGCATTAATATTTTATATGTATTATTATATTAAATCTATTTTAATTTATATCAACTTTTTACTCAATATTATAAGCTAATTTTAACTGGACCCCATATCGTTAAGTTTTCAATACAAATCTAAATTAATTCATAAAAACCACATCGGAAGTTAATGTTATTAAAATAAAATATATAATATTAAAATAAATAATTAATAATAATTTTGTTTTTAATCAATTAAACAAGTATCTCATTTCAAAAATGTTGGTAATTTATTTATTTATTGGTTTGATAAATTATTAAGAGGTTTTCCGAACAGAAGTGAACTACAACAACAAAAATTCATAATAAATTATTTTAATTAATTGAATTTTTGGCTAACCGTCATCAGTAGTCTTGGAAAAAATTCTTGTATTATTCGTAAATAATGTTTTGAGACTGCAAGTACCAGGAATCAAATTCGTGCCCTGCTAAATTTGAAGCTCAGAGTCAGCGTTCATTAGTCAACTGACCTAAAGCCGTACTTAAAGTTTTGTTAAATTGATGTCAAAGTTTTATTAACAAATTCACTCACTGTGAATTCACAGAACAATTGAATTAATAAATTATATTTAATTGTTAAATTTCAAAACTATTCTGTTTGTAGAGACATTATTTGTTGCATATTTTTATATTATTCTTTCTTGAGTATTGAACCTAATCTAGGAACGTAATACCGAGAAAATCATGCTAATGTTACTCCATGAATCACACGAGCGAGACCATATATTTTATTAATATAAGTTGTAATTTAGTTATTAATTATTAATAAATATTACACTTCACATAATTCAGTCTACCTTGTGGATTAAGTTTAGTGTACATAAGGAGGTCCTAAAATTTAGTAATTAATATATTTTATAATGTATATATTTTATTACCTAACAAAAGAAAAACTTAAAATCTTCATAGGACTTCTAATGGAACATTGTAGACTAAAACACCACTATTAGAATGCCCTGCGCTAAACCACATACGGAATAGGCTCCTGGGAGCCTATTCTTACGGAAGAGGCAACAAAACTCTGTAAAGTAGGTTCAATTCTACTTTTTATTTTTAAATAAATATATTGTTGGGATCTGGTATTTTATTTCACTTAATAACATAACATTAATTAAACCGTGAACTAAAAAATAAATAACTCAACCTAATAATACTTCGATTGGCTAAAAAATGAATTAATAAGGAAATCAATAAAAACATGATATATTAATATATTAAATATTTTTAATAAGATGTTTTTTTATGTTGATTTAAGTTATTAATAACATAAAAATATATTGTATAAAGAAAAAAAGAGTTTTTTGTTCATTAAACTATCGATCGATCAATAATAATTAACAGGTTTCTCCGTCGCTATCTTCGGTAACAAGTTTTTTTAAATCATTTTAAAAAACTTACTTGGTTGATGGCATAATATAATAATGTTACGATATGATCTAAAATGTTTCTCTATTGTATTATTGAAATTTCAAATAACACAATCCTCATAAAGTGAATAAAGGACAGAAGCTAAGGAAACAAAACAATATAATGAGGTGTGGAATGATATAGCACAGACAAGGGTGTAACGAGTGATGTGAATAAGAATAGAATTTCCGATAAGTACAAAAAAACTTATTGACATCCTATGCCTTAAAAAAGACCTAAAAGAAGTTTATATCCCCGGAATCATATGTTTAGTTTAAGATTTACCAATTTTTATATAGTTCTCTCAGCAATCACCAAGCGTATTAGCATAAAATAAAATATTTTTTAATGATGAGACTCATTGTTCGTTTGGTGGATAGTTCACCAAACAAAATATCGTAACTGGGGCAGTGAATATGTACAACTAACTGTCAAAAGATCATTGCATCTACAAACAGTCATTGTATGGAGTAGTCTTTGATTTAGAGGTGCTAGTTTTGACCGCAACACCTAAGATGTAGAAATTGAATATATATTTGTAGAAGATATTACACTTTTCATAGTTATTACTTTTAGAGATAGTATAGGCATGTTATTGGTAATTGATTATTTTACGGAAAATGTTGAAATAACTGAGAATTGTTGGATTCCGGAACAACAACACTGGAGAATTTAAATACTATACATAATCTCACAAATTTTCTCATTTTTAAATCAAAAAAGTTTTGTTTCACTAATGCAATACACCGACTTCGATAGTCAAGTTTTCAAATTTTACGAACGTAAGATCCATTCTTATTCATCAGAACTAATTCCTAATGACTGTTATCAGATTCACTCCCCCGAAGTAAGGCATGCTTGTCATAAGCGGCGACTAAAACCCGGCACCATTATACACTGTTTCGAGTGTAGATGGTAGTGAATGAGTTTTCACTTGCGTTACCCGATCGAAGATGTATATATGCTACTACGGGGGTTAGTGTTCGCAACTTCGGCTATTCTGACCAATTGAGATTAGCAGTTAAAACCCAAACTTACGCGAGTAAAATGATTGTGTTTATTTACCTTCCATTCGGCGTGGAGTTGCGTTTTTACTGCGGTTGTTGTGACCCAAAGACCAGTAAAGGTATGGTTAGACCTCGCTCCTTACCAAACGGGAAGTTATGTCAAACACATAACTTCATTGCTGCTGGCGAAAATTCCTTGATATTCAAATGGGGCGTCTATCGGTGCATTATCCTGGAGAACACTGTGATGTTGATCCAACAAGGCAGTTAAACACGTAAAAAAGATTGATCATGTCATTTTGACTTTGAAGTTAAAATGTGTGAGAAGAAGGATAAATATTCTAGTTAAATAAAAAGAGGTGACATTTGTCGTAATATTCATGATATTCACTATAGCGAAAAGTATATAGTGTTAAAAACTCTTAGTCGAAAAATGAACAAAAATTTAATATTTTGCTTTTTTATGTTCGTACATTCGTATCCATTTATTACAAATAATCAATTTAGATAAGTTTAGACTAAAATCACTACATATATATTATAATAAACTAAATCACATAGTTTTTCAAAATTTTTATTAAGCCGAATATAAATAATGGAATAAATTCCTTAAGAGTTAAAGTCATACTAAAGCAAAACTCAACCATAATAAAGACTATATATATATAAACAAATTTGAACAACATTGCTAACAAATTTATATGTAATTATAAGTATTCTTCCCTAATATATACAAATCGTCTCTTAAAACATTACTATTGTGATATCATAGTTCTCGTAAATGTATTTTAACGGTGGGTTTCTATGACAGATAAACACATGTTTTTAATTTAAAAAGAGAAAGTCCTAAATGTGTTACTAATAAAAAATGACTTTGAACTCAGAGGTCGTAAGGAGCACGGAAGTGGCATTTTGCTGTCTTTAAGTTATGACGAAATTGTATTTTAAAATGTTAAAGTCCACAAAATCAATAAGAAAAATATTACATATATCATATGTATATATATATGTATAAATGTATATAACTATATAGAACAAGTGCAAGGACACGAATGCCTACAATTTTAAAATCAACAAAAATTGTTCTTGGTTCGCTTCTATTCGATATAAATTTAAAATACAAAAATAAATTGCTTGCATATGGGAGAGTGGTTACAGGGGATCTGAAAATTGGATTGAGTGAAGAGTGGACAAAACTTTAAGTGAAAATAAAGTCGGGAAAGGGCTGTATGGAAAAGGCAATTGATTCGTCAATAAAACGTATATAAATATTTATATGCATTTGATTTATTGAAGGCATTTAATGACTTAAATCGTATGTCCTTGTACTTATATGAATTACTGACTCTGACTGCTTTAAAACGAAAGGTATCGTTCAGTAGGTGGAAGGGATTTCAAATTTTAATTGATGTAAAGTTTAATATTTTTAACAATTTAGTATTTAATAACTATTATTATTTTGTTTTTAATTGTAATTGTTTCTTATATATATATATGTATAATGCTAAATAATCGTTAAATAATGATATATTTATATCTTAATATCTATATGTCTATAGATATATGAATATGTAGAATATATTATTTTTGCGATTTTAAGGGAAAAAATGTATAACAATTTGCTCATTAAAAAATTTGTCTTAAATTTGTAGATTTTTTATTTATAGTTTTCTATTTAAACATTATTGGCAAGTGGAAGTCACCCATCTTTGCTGGTTAAATGAAAGACCGTAAAACCACAACCCGAAAGAAATGTTAGAATGCAATGTAAAGTAAAGAATTATAAAGGCCTACCACTATAGCATTAGCTTATGTAAAATAAATAATCATCTAGATTAGATCAGATTAGATTTTGGAAGGGTTGGGAACTAACGGATCGACATGAGCTACTACAGACAACAACTATAGATAAATTAAACATTTCTTTAATACAGATTGTTTTGTCAATAATTTTCAATACTAGAATCTATAACTAAATGTGAAAGTCAACCGTTAAGAACGCTTTCCAATTAAAGTGACCTAATTTTGAAATAAAATTGTGGTTAGCAACTAAACAATCCGAAGTCTGAAGTTGAGCATAGCGTTAGCTCAATTGAAACTTATTCCTATTGGAAAATTGCAGATAAATTGATATACATTGGTTTCAAGTTAAATATTAAAGACGGA